ATTCTTGAAACTATTAAATGAATAACATCATTAAAAAAATTGACGTCATTAAGAACATTTTGGTTTGGGCCACTGCAAATTTGCCAAACTCAGAACTTTTGTGATAGTAGTTCTTTGTTAAAAGTGTTGCATATAGTTCCTTATAAAATTAGGGCTTCTCACTATGTGATAACATCAAAGACATGCCTGAAGGGTACTTATTTTTTTAAGAAGTTGGGGGGATCCACTCGGAAAAACCTGTATAAGAGGCTATTTGCAAGACATCAAACATGGACTTGTCTGGACATCGCAGGGTTTGAAGTATATATAGGAATCAAAATTGACTCACTACTTTTAATGCTTTGTGTCAATAAAAGACAAAGGAGAAATGTTACAAATGGTAGTACTTGAGATATGTAATTTTTACTTAGCCATGGAAATCATCTCTATAGGAACTTACATGTATCCGAATATCCTGCTTATATTGATAACAAAATGACAGGAAAAAATATCCCGGGTGCAGTTCCCAAGTTTTTATATTTTTATCTTTAACATAATTGTATTCTTTCACAATTGTTCATTCTAAAGTCTTAAGTTCATTTTATGACAAGTGCTGTTAGTATCAGGATTAAATACAAATTGTTACTGAAAATACACAGCCTTTATGCATTGGATTCAGAATTAACAGATTTTTTTCCCTTGGTACTGGAGTTTAAACTCAAGGCCTTGTGGTTGCTAAGCAGGTGCTCTACCACTTGAGCCACACCTCTAGCCCTATAAATTACAGAATTCTTTAAATTTTGGAAGTCTTAAAAGTGTATTTACTTGGATATAATTTCTTTGCCTTATTAAATCTCTTTCAGTATCAGATTTATTTTTAAAAGCATAAGCAATATAGAATATTTATTTTTCAGAGTACCATCATTTTGATAAATTTGATAAATTTTGATAAATCATCTCCTTTTTTTATTTGGGAATATTCTCTATTTAATTTTATTTTGTCATTTTTACATGCATATATATTATTTGGGCCACCTTCCCCCTCCCCCCATAAGTGGTCTTTTGTCCACACCAGGTTCTGTTGAAGCAGCTCACTAATGTAATTTATGTATCTGGTAAATGTGGTAATCACTTCTGTAGAAAACAAGGAAGATGGGGAATCGGAATTGGAACTGATTCAAAGAACTGGGGAAGTATGGAGACTCTAATATGGCAGGCTAAATATTTCTTTATTTTCGATTGCTCCAAGTATTTATTGCTCTAGTTATTCACAGATGTTTCATCAAAATTCCAAAGAAAATATTCCCATTATGACTACACAAATTAACAATGAAGAAATTGTTTGTAATTTTAGTCCATAACATCAGCGTCCTATTCATTATTAAGAATACTCTCAGTAGCTCTCATGTATTTTTTGCATTCCTATATGTAAATTCAGTAAAATCAGCAAAAGTTAATTTAACTATTTTGAAACAATATAAATATTAAGCAAAGTAAGTACATCTTAAATATGGCTAATTTTGTAAAGATAAAGGGTTTTTACTTTGGAATTAGATAAGAAATGAGCTATTTGAATAAAGCTAGTATTTGTTAAGAAACATGATATTCTCTTAATCACTTATAATTCAGAGCCATAAATAATAAAGTGACATTGCATGCATTATGTATGTTTTGTTCTGAGTAGAGAACTGAATTAAGAGTTAGCAGTGATTTTTGTTTAAGTATAATGAATTGAACTCTTGCCTCATTTATGAACTCTTACTTAAACTGGTTTGGGATATTATAGCTACATATACATGCCCTTGGTGGTTGCATTTTCTCCAAAATTCATCTGTGAGGTATAGGGTTAATTATAGTCCAGTGCTTGGTCTTTTGAGCATTGTTTCCTCAAAAGGTGTCTCAAGTTGCCAGTGTTACAATCCCAGATTCTTTGTTGAACAGACTACCTGTTCATACAGGAGCTGCATTGTTGTATAGCCTCATTCCTTCCGATGGGTGTGGAGCAGGATTAAAGCACACTTTATAGGGGTTCTAATTGTAGATGCCTAATTGACTTGATGAATAGCAAATGCTAAAATTTAAACACACACATGCACACACATATAAACCTGTTTCAGGGCTGATCTGCATGACAGAACAAATGCCTTGCAGGTGTTGAATGCTTATAAGATAAAAGAGTAGCCTTTCCATATTTCCCAAGAATTTTCTTTTGAAGTTTATATGGATTTTCTATCTCATTGTTTCTTTTCTTAAAATGGTTCATGGCAAGAATCCATTTCATCTTTGGCTACATTTTTTACGTTTAAAGGCAGACCTAAGTTTTAGAATTCAGCCAAAATTAAAAATAAGAAAATCTGTCAATAAGTAAATGTTCCCATTTACTTCCCATTTACTTGGAATAAGGAAATGTTCCATTTCCTTCTTGGGAAGGAAAGAAAAGAGAAAAACTGCTGACTCTGGTTTTGGGCTTAGTAAGGTTACAAGTTCTTTTTCTAATTCTTCAAGAATGATATACTTTACTGAGGTCATTCAGGGTCTTACGAGTTTTTCTTCATTACCTAACAGAGAGGGAAGCTTCTTAGGCTAGAAATTTGACAGATGTGAAAATTAAAAAAAAAAAATCACCTGTTTTTACTCCTAACATTTTTTAAAGACATGTTTTCTCTTTATTTTTTGTTTTATCTGTTTTCTGAATTCTGTAAGGCCAGTGCTTTTCCTTTCTGTGTTTTGTTTGAGGTAATTTTTTTTTATTTTGAGCTGATCGTAGATTCACATATAGTGGTAAGAGGCAAGTACAGAGAAATCCTGTGTACCCATTACTCAGTCTCTCCTGGAAGTGGCACCTTGAGTAATTACGTGGTACATTATTACAGCCAAAATTTTTTATTAATGCAGTCCACCAGCCTTATACACCCATTTTATATGCACGTGTGTGTGTATTTAGTTTTATGCAGTTCAGTAGTGTGTAGATTCCAGTATCTATCACCAAGGTTTCTTCATGTCACCCTTAATTCCCAGCCTTCTCTCACTCCACCCCTCCAATTTTTGGCCATTTATAATCTGTCCTCCATCTGGATAATTTTGTCATTTTAAGAATGTTATGTAATAGAATCATACAAAATACAACTTTTTTTTTTTTTTGGCAGTACTGGAGTTTGAACTCAGTGCCTTGTGCTTGCTAGGTAGGTACTTACCACTTGAGCCAAGCCCCCGACCCTTTTTGCTTCCATTAAGTTTTGGGTAGGGTCTCATATTTTTGCAGGGGCCAGTCTCCGACTGTGATCCTTCTACCTCTATTTCCTGCGTAGATGAGATCACAGGCATTTTCCACCATGTCCAGCTTATTTGTTGAGATGGGATCTTCCTAACTTTTTGCACTGTCTGGCCTCTAACTGTGATCCTATTGATCTCTGCCTCCTGAAAAAAATACAACCTTTTGAGATTGGCTGTTTTTACTCAGCAGATTCCCTTGAAGTATCTAGCTAAATTGTTGCATGTATCAATAGTTAATTCTTTTTTTTTTCCCCCCTTTGACACAGAGTCTCACTTAAATACCCTCAAATTTTCTATCCTCTTAAGTGTGCTGGGATTATAGGTGTAAACCACCACACCCAGCCTAGTTCATTTTTTTTTTATTGATCAGTAGTACATGTGGTCTGTAAATGTTGGTAAATCTGTGATAACATTTGTTGTTGTTTGTTTTAACATGTTTGTTGTTGAAGGGCATTTGGGTTGTTTCTAATGTTTGGCTATTACAAATAAAACTACTGGAAACATTGAAATACAGATTTATCTCAAAAGTTTTTTCCACTTCCTTACCCATAATATTTTATTTATTTATAGTCCATAGAGTCAAAGATAAAATGTGTCACATTTGCTAGAGGTAAAATATTCTCCAGGGCCTTTTTTTTTTTAATTCCTGAATTTCCTGGTATTAAATCATTACCACTGGGGGCAATAAGAAGACACTACCAGTAGCTATGTAACTATGTTTAGGAAATGAATAAGTTTGTCTATTAAAACTCTTATTTAAATTGTCACCTAAACTAAATTACAGACAATATGAAAAATCCTGTTCTTATTTTGAACATTTTTTTTTATGTGTGTGACTATAGATTCTCTATAGGTTAGAATCTAAGAAGTGAGATCGTGGTGAAAAAAACTTTTGACATTGCCAAGTTACTTTCCAAAGATTTATGCCAGTTTCAAATATCTCCATCAAAGTATGGAAGTATAGTTTTAAAACACTTTTTATCAAGTGCTATAATTTTTAAAGTTGCTAATTAATTGTTTTGGTTTGTATTTATATTTAGTTTTCTTGATACTTGGTAGGTTTTTTTTCCATGTTTACTTGATGGCTGTTTTTCTTTTTTTGTTAGTTACTATTCATGAAAATTAGAAATGCCATACTACTTTATCCATATTCTTCCTTGTAGTTTCAGTGCCCAACCGTCAACTCTCTTTTCAGTAACTACCTGAATCCCCTAGATAGTAGTCCTGTCATTTATTTTGTGCTAGACTTAAAATTTAAAATGCATATAACACGCTCCTTGAGGTAAAAACCTATCGCCCTTTGTTAAATGCTTTTCTGTAAGTGATTTTGTTCCTAGTCCAGGATTTCCTGCCAGAGTCTAGTTTGTTTAATCCCAGAAGTTTAGAGTCTACATAAACATTATTGCTGTTAGCAAATACATAGGCTAGGTCAGAACATAGACCTGCATTTATAGTGAACTTCTAATTACATGTTTGTCCTAACTATTAGAAAGGAAATAACTTAACTCACTTTAGGTGGGGAAAATTTCATCCTATTTGGCTGTCACATAGTAATGACTAAAAGCAATAATGTTGCAGATTTACTTTTGTGATCTCAGGGAAAATACACTATACAAATGGGTCCTGGTTCATTATTCAGAGGCCAGAATGAAGTGACTTCATTCATTTGACTCATGAAGGAACTTAGATAACTGCTTAGAAACAGTACAATGTGTAAATAAAAGGTTTTTTTTCTTTTTACTTTTTAGGTTTACAAGTAAAAGTAACCAAATTGAAAAAGGAACGAATTTTGTAAGTATCGGTATATAACATTGATGTCTTATTTATAAAATAATTGATACCTGGTATCCTGTTTGACCTCAATGTCTTAAAGCAAATTAGCTTCACATAAGCCAAGTGACAGCATTTTTTTAAAGTTCTAAAGTTAAAAAAATACATATAGATATATATGCTTTGTCATTTTGAGACAGAGCAACCCAAGACGCATGCATTTCAGTTACCTCATGTCCCTAGCACTTCCAAGGCTGTAACTTTTGAAAGCTAAGAGTTATTGATCACCCATCAGCCCACACCCAGTTTTCTCTGTTATAATCTAAATAAAAATGGGAACTTTTCTTCATATCTAGAAAGTCATGTTTGAAAGTAGCATAGACTCAAATACAAAATCGTAATTTTTTAATGTTTAATATAATCTTATTCTTAGTAAATTTTTAAGTGTTTGGCATTTTTGAAAGTATACATATTTCTACTTTAAATTTCCTCAACCATGGAATAACTGATTTCTCTATTTCTGTGACGAAGCTGTGTTTAGTTCCCACAATTGAGAGATGATTATTTATTTATAAAGAAAATTAAATAAGCCTTTTCTGCATAGTAAATTTATACTTTATTAGATAGTATTTTCTTAACAGAGGAGGGAAAAAACCAGCCAGAGCTGACTGTTCCAATAAGGTAAATATATTCTTTCACATAAAAGCCCCCAGAAAGGGGCATTCTAGCACTGCATAGTCAATGACAAAATCATTAAAAACTCAGGTTACTTTTTCTTCTCTACCATTGCTGGTGCTTGGCTTTCCCCATTAGACTTGAAAAAATGGCAAGATGACCACCATCATTCTAATCGTTACTTGTAGAAATCCTTATATCCCTTTTTATTAGTTATAAAAGTGCCAGAATAGACCTCTAATTTATTGATCATAATTGTGTGCTCATTCCTAAACAGTAACTAGCATGATTGGTTCAAGCTAATAAAGATTTTTTTTGACACTACTTTATCTGTATTCCAGAATGCAGCAAATAAATAAATACGCTGTTGATAATGAATGCTACAGTGCTCACTGTCAGTAGAAAGGAGTTAAATACAGAAAGGGGGAAGGCTTGAATAAATCCTGTGTTCCTTGGTAGGAATTGGAGCTATCAGTATGCCCTCATGGTTTTTAGAATTTAGACAGAAAAGTAGATATAAACTAAGTAACTAAGATTTTTGTTAATGTGTATAAGGATATACATGTATTTCCTAGGCTTGGTTCATTGAGAAGACCTAGAAATAGTGACACCCCAGTAGAAATGAGCACACTTTAACCTCAGACCTTAATTTCTAAACAGTGTTTTCCAGTAAAAGTAATCTTTTACTTTATCCAGTGTTCTTTGGAAAAATAGTTAATGGTATACTTGAAGATATAAGATGAGCTGGGCCATGTTATGTGCCAGAAAATAAGGACATGCTTAAAAAGATGGCATCTTAAAAAATAATAGAAGACAACTTAAAAAAAAAAACCTCCCAGTGGCAACATGAGCAAAGAAATAATGGTAGTAATGAATTATACTTCTCATACAAAAAAGACAACTCTTCCTTAGTAGAATTCCAGTTAGTGAGTGTAGAAAGAATGATTCGGAAAAATCATCATCTGAGAGACATCAGAGCAATAATTGTTAAAGGCAAGAATCATCAACAGAGGCTAAAATAAGTGGATGATAGTATCATGAGAAATAGTAGCTTCAATACTGGTAATTACAAAGGGAAAAGTGATATTACAGCTGAGAAACTTAGCAGTCCCTTTTATAACCAAAGTTAGAAGTCCCTTCTATGATCAAAGTTAACATCACTAGTAATGAACTAGATCTCCTCCTGATGTGGTACAGTAAAAAGAGCACAATATCACTCTTGTCATATTCCTACCAAAATGCAATTTTACAATGAGAAACATTAAGACACACCCAAACTGAGGAATAGTCAACAAAAGAACTAGCCAGTCATTGTCAAAGGTGTCAACAATGTGAAAGATAAAAGATGAAGAGACTGCTCCAGATTGGAGAAGACATGACAAATGCAACATAGGATCCTAGACAGAATCGATATTAGAGGAATAACTGGGTGAAATTTGAGTGAGAGCTATTGATTAGCTAATACCATAATTATCTGTTAATTTCTTGATTTTGATAATTGGACTATAATTATGTGAGATATTAACATTTTCAGAAGCTGAAAAATAGGGTATACAGGCATTTAGTTTATACTTATTTGTAAAGTTGAGTAATAGGTATAATAGTATGCAGGTACTCTGTTCTATGTTAATTTATTTGTAAGTCCTAAATGATTTCCAAAGTGAAACATTAAAAAAGGTAAACTTCCTTCCCAACAAGCTACTAGATATTGAAGAAAATGGAGTTTTATTTTAGCAAGGGATAAAAAGGAAAAATGGCTGCTGGATAGGCAGCCAAAAATGTTGCTAGTTTGAGTAGCGCTACTGCTGTAGTGACCAATGAAAAAGGAGTCAGAGCCAGTGCATCTCTTGGGATATGACTTCTTTATAGGGCACAAATTTTGTTTCTGTGAGTAACAGACATTTCATAAACTTTCTAGCCTTTTTATGTACTTTAATTGATAACTTGTGGTATTACCTTATGTTTATGTATGTTAGAAGTATCTGCATAGTTACAGGGGAAAAATCTATGTTCCCCCCATGATAAAAATTACTCTAAAATATAACAAAATTGTAAGTTTAAATGAGGCAAAAAATAGGATTATTTTCTTGGTTAATAAGTAAAATTTTCTTTTCTTGGCTATTTGAAATTAAAGGGAAATTTCTTTGTTTTACTTAGAAATAAGTAGACTTTTTAAGTGGTGAAAATATTTCTTTGAGTGGTTTGACTAAATTATGAAATACACTTATTTCCATTTTCTTTTTGTTACAGTGGTTTTTCACATTTTGTTTTGGCATTACTGGGATTTGTTGGGCACGTGCTCTACCACTTTGAGCCACACCTCTAGCCCATAGTGACTGTGTTTATAAACATTGTTGATCAGAAGATAAGTATTGTCAGTGACTTGATATGGTGACTTAATACATAACAAATGAAATAGCTAGATTAAGCCAGGTACTGTGTAGGTTGAGGCAGAAGGATTTTAAGGTCAAGGCCAGCCTGGGCTATATAGTGAGTTCCAGGCCAGCTTGAGCTACACAGCGAGACACCTATCTCACTCTCCTCTCTCTCCTCAAAAGAATGGATAGATTACTGTGTGTTGGAGTTACCCTACAAGTCTCCCCTTGTATGTGTAATAACACTGTATAGGAATTCTTGTTCTCTTTGACTTTTTTGATACCAAAGGTTTAATGTTTCGGAGCTGACTATTGGTTACACAATAAACTCTTTACATTTTACCTTGGTTCAGTATTTAATTACTGATCTTGTAAATGCTATATTAACAAGCACTGATTAGAACAACATCTTTAAGAGTCAAAATGTGGTCACTTTTAAGGAGCAATACCACCCAGAAATCATTGCTATTTGCCTACACATTTTAAGCTACAGTTCACTAAATGTTTTTGAAGGAAATGGATCCTTTGTATAGTAATAGTAATTTTATTTCTAAAATATTACTACTTTAAATGTAGTTTTATCTTATAAGGTAGTACTTTATCGTAGCTTGAATCAAAATCATTTCCCTGCAGATGAACTGAACATTCTTTTTAATGATCTAGATTTGTTTATTATAAATGCACTTTCTATAGTAGACTTTTTATACAGAAGTATTAGTCACATGAAAAAGCTTCTTAAATTTGTAAGTGAATATTGAATATTTCCTAAAATTCACTGATAATATCTTTAAATATTAAAGAATGAAAAACACAGCTGGTTATTCAGGAGATGGTGACAGTCTGTTTTACTGTATAGTTTACAATCATTTGATCCTCTTAACAGACTTCTAATGTACATTGTAATTACTGTATACCTGTATAGTTCAGGTAGATAGGGATGATAAATTTTAGAAACACAAGTGAGTAGCTATATTCCCTCCATAACCAGAGAATTAAAGAAATGATTTATTTTACTTCTGTAGAGTAAGTCAGGTCTTTGCATAATGGGACCATGAACTTGAGTTTAGCTATCTTATATCAAACATAACTTATCAACTGAAATGACTGTCATAAAGGCTAGTGTATAAATCTTACCATCTTATTTACCAACCATTGTTTAAAGAAAAATAGTAGCTTCTTTATTTTACACTGAGGGAATAAATAATAAACATCTAGCTTCATAGCACTTCATAAGAAAATTCCTTTTCTTGCTGGTGAGAAATAAACTGCTCACCTACAAATAAACCCTTGTTTTCCTTTAAATTATTTTTTAATTAGAGAATTTAAAGAATTACAAAGAAAGAAATTATGTAATTTTGCTGGATAGTTTTCATGCTTTTGAATCCTTATCACTATAATCCCCCATAATTGGAGTAGAGATAATGTGAATTGAGATACCTGTTATTTACATTAACAGTTGTTAACAAAATCATAAAAAACCAGTAAGTGTACATTTTGATAGCCATTTCAATAAAGTTGAGTCAGGGGCCAGCATCAGAATCCAATCCCTCTGTTCCAGCATTGTGTAATGAATGCCTGGTACTTACAATAAGACTTCTAAAGCACTTTAAAAATACTTGAGAGCAAAAAAAATTTTCAGAGCAAATGCTAGTATGATTTGAACTCTGATTAGCAAAATATTCAAATGTCACCTTTTGTTTTTATACCTGGAATTCATCAGACACATGTATAACACATATATAGTGTTGTGTGTGTAGTGAGACTAAACTTTGTAGTTTTAACAACAGAATTATTTTTTAGAGTATTTTTCCCTGGAATTTTTATTTATTTCTTGACTTTTAGAGATGCACAAAGACTAGAAGAATTCTTCACTAAAAACCAACAGCTGAGAGAGCAACAGAAAGCCCTTCATGAAACCATTAAAGTTTTAGAAGATCGGTGAGTCTGGTATTTACATAAGAGGTGATTTTCTCCTCAATAGGGGGAGTGTGTGGGGATTTTTGTTTTGTTTCATTTTGGTAGTGTGGGTTAGTGGTACTAGAGTTTGAACTCACAGCCTTGCACTTGCAAGGCAAATGTTCTACCACCTGAGCCACCCCTCCAGCCTGGGAATTTTGTTGGTTTTAATTTGTAATCTGTTCTGAGATTGAAAGTGACCATTTACTCAGCCTTCTATTATCATCAAATAACTCTTTTATGACATTAAGGATATATTCTTACAGATTTTTTTAAAATTAATTGTAGCATCAGCTTAACCTTTAAATTGCATGTTTATCTAGTGTTTGATGTAAGGCTAACTTAAGAGTAGTGTTCTAATCATTTGATGTTTGATTTTGCCTCCTAAGTAGGTGGAAATTGCTTTACAGTTCTATTTCTGCTTCCTTTTCTTGCTATATTTTCTTTTCTTCCTTACATATTTCTCCACTTTCAGGCAATCCAGAGATTCTTTACGTTCATACACAAAACTTTCTTATTCTAGTGAGGTTAATATTCAGAATTAAAAAAGTCTTCCAGAATTTGCTCTATTCCTTTGTCTGAACTGTAATGCTACTTAGGACCTTGAGTTACCTACTAGAGGAAATAATTATTTATAGTTAATATTTTCCCTTACTGTTTTCATATATGTTACAGAAGGGCTGAATGGTTTTAATTTGTCTCTTTCCCTTTAGTGGTAAAATAATGTAATCTGAAGTTGTGTCATCAGCCACAAATGCTGGCCTAGGTAGCTGGAACAAGTATGTGCTTTGGACTCACACATATCTGAATTCCAACTTCACATTGTGTTCTTAATTCAGATTTACCAACAAATATTTTAGTTCTTATTATGTACTAGGTCTTGCTCTAGGGTCCTGGGATACTACTATCATCATTGTATCACATACCTTATATTTATTTGTCAAAAGTTGGGAGTAAGCCATGTAACAAATGAATTACATGGTTTCAGACTATGACTGCTTTGATAAAAAGAAAATTGAATGATGTAGTTGAGTGACCACAGGCATTAGAAAGAGGAGGGATGGATAGTCACGGGTGGCCTTTCTGAGGCCGTGCTATTTAAATGAGATCTGAATGACAGAAAAGAACCAGTTACTTGAGGAACTAAAGACAAAAGGAAATAGAAAGGATTAAGGAAGAAATAAGTTTGAAATATCTGAGGAGCAGCAAGTCTATTGTAGTTCTAGCTTAATGAGTAAAAGGAATGAGTAACAGGAGACAAGATTGGAAAGTTGGGAAGCAATAGATGTTATGGATGGACATGGGCAACAAGTTTAGATTTTAATTGTTATGGAAGCCATGGGATTGTTTAAGCTGGAGAATGACAAAGAATGTAAATGGGTACCAATAGCATCTGCTATACAAATTAAAAGTTAATGAACAAAAGATTTAGTTATCCACCCCCCCCCCCGCCAAAAAAAAAAGAGAGAGAGAGAGAGAGCCAAGCTATTGGCACAGAGAAAAGCCAGAAACATGGGCATGACACTTAACAGTACCTTCTCTGCAAGACTATTTTGAAGACTAAGTGAAATAATGCAAGCAACAGTATATAAATATATAAGTTTAATAGGGTTTATAATATCTCTAAAGGCAGGCACAGGGTGCTTCCTTATAATAATAGCACTTGGGAGGCTGAGGCAGGAAGATCATGAGTTCCAGATGAGCCTGAGCTACATAGTGAGTTCCAGGCTAACCTGGGCTATCTAAAAAGACCCTGTCTTACAAAGCCAAACCAAAAACAAACCAGAAGAAAAGATATATACTATCTCTTAAATGGTGTAAATAAGAGAGGAAAAGGTGTGGCTAAGACTGCTTTTCAGTTTTAAGAGTGTTTGGTAAGGTGATGGGGAATCCTGAAGTTATAGTTTCCCTGCTCTGTTCATTCATTGGCTAGAATATGACCTGAGTGTCTGGTGTAGTCAGCTGTGTGAACAAGTAAAGGATATGAGTGCTCAGAAGGTGGAGCCAGAGATTTTTACTCCTCACAGTAAGAGTAAGATAATTAATGGCTGCCACACTCAAAGATTGATTATGTTGATTTCCTTTCCTGGGTAGTTGGGTTAGCAAGTTGTTTAGGGTCCAAAGTTAATACTCTGAAAAAAATTTCAAGATAAAGTTTTCTCTTTGTTTTCCTTGACCTGGCTTAATGCAATTGGATCTCTCATTTCTTCCCCAAGATAGAGTATACATCATTTTAACCCCTGAAGATACTCCTTTCCAGTGTTTTCCAAAGTTTTTTACTTCATAGTTTAGTTTGGATTTCCAGTTTGGTTATCCTTTATAGCTTACACTCCCTTGTTCAGTGACTTTCCTTCTCTGATCCTTTCTGAGAAGAAATGTCAGTGGATGAGTGTCTCTACCCTTTCCACTGAAACATTTTCAAAATTTCCTTTACTCAGTTAAAATATTTATTAATTTTTAAAAATTTTTATAATATTTTTTCCTTTTCTTTTTTGTGATACTGCTAGGCACTACCACATGAGCCATGCCTCTGGCCCTTTTTACTCTGGTTATTTTGGAGACAAAATCTCACATTTTCTCCTGGCTAGCCTGGACCATGATCCTATTGATTCTTCCTACCATAGCTGGGATGGTAGGTACACGCCACTATGCCCAGCTTTTTCTGTTGAGATGGGGTTTTGTAAATTGTTTTGCCTGGGCTGTCCTAGAACCACTGTCCTCCTAATCTCAGCCTGCAGAATAGCTAGGATTACAGGCATGAGTCACTGTACCTGGGCTTATAATTTCTTTAGAACTACATTCTTTCTCTTTATTATTTATTCTGCCTGTTGCTGGTCATTTATTTCATGTTGACGTTGTACTTATTGCTGTCTTTCATCTTAAATGTTGTCTTGCTTTCCTGTCTGTTCACCTTTACATTCTTAGGTCAATGGATATATAATTCACTGCATAGTATTAATTCGGTAGTGGGGAGTGAGAGTAGCTCATTTCTTTTTCTTTTCAAAAAGAAAATTTTGAGATAGGGTCTCACTGTGTAGCCTTGTCATTGAACTTTCTATCTTCCTGACTCAGCCTGTACATACTAGCACTGAGATTATAGGTGTGTACCACCACTCTCAGCTTCATTTCTTTATACTTAAGCTTTTTCTCTTCTTTCTTTAAATAAAAATCGAAGATTTACTTCTGAGCGCACGTTAAGATTTATCCATTGTTTCATGAAGCTTTATTTCATTAACCTGAAGGTCATTGTTCTTTTTAATATGGGAGCTGATACGTATTAAAGGTTCACTTTGTACCTGGATATCTAACATTTAATCTTCAAATTAATACTATAAGGTAGATGATAGATCCATTTTATATGTATTGAAACTGAGCTTGCAAAGAATTGAGAAACTTTCCAAGGATCACATAGTTAACAGACAATTACATTAAATCTGAAACCTATCTTAGCCCCATAGTTTCTGTTGTTTGGTGATGCCTTGTCTGTATGTTGTCTTAATTTTATAAATGTTGTGTACATTAATTACAAGTTTAAGTGATCATCTCAAAGTATTTATGCTTGACATGAAGTTACCAAAATAGGTACTCTGAAATATTAGGTGTTCAACATTGGCTTTTTTTTTTGTGGTCCTGGAGATCAAACCCAAGGCTCTGCACATGTTCGGCAGGTGCCCTACCACTGAGCTACGCCCCAGCCTTAAATACTACCTTTACATCTTTAAGTAGGTAACTTTTAGTAAAGTTCTGCTCTACTTAAAATTTCATTTTTGCACAATGTCATACATAAGAATGGTATCTACAGCAAGCTTTAAATATCTGTAGAAATTAATGTTTTGCTGAGACCTTTAAAAAGTAACATACACCTTGTTTAAATTTCTGAGCAATAGTTCTGAAGCTTGTGATACACTTTTTGTAAAATGAAGTAATTATCATTTCATTTGTTAATGTGAAAGCATCATGAGCTATTTGGATGAAAGGAATTACCTAGTAAAGGTAAATGAGGTAATTAAAAAGTTCTAATTTTATATAGCTCATTTATGCCTTACTGTTGTTATTATTACATTTACAAACTTTCTTTCAAGGAACCATAAATAATTTCACTAAATCTAAGAATAGCCACTGTGGTAGCTAAGTATACTGAATGCATTTTTTAAAAAGTCTGAACATAATTGCCTAATAGATGGTTTTGTGTTTTGCTCAGTGCTGAGAATTGAATTCAAGGCCTTGAGCATGCTAGCAAGTTCCCTACCAATGAGAACTTCATCCCTAGCCCTTTGGTTTTTGACGCAGGATCTCACTATGTAGCCCAGGCTGACCTCAAACTTGAGATCTTCCTGCCTCTTACTCTTTCTTGAGTGCTGGGATTATAGGTGTTACACTACCATGCTTAGCTGAGTTTGATATTTTTAAAGCATTTTGGCAGTCATAGAAAACTCTTATTTCAGTATAATTGAAAGGAAAATTAGTATTCATAATTTTAGAGGATTTATGATTCTGCAACTAGTTCTCACATTAGACCAAGTGTTTTCTTCTCTTTTGTCTTGCTTCTTACTCATAAGTTTGAATTTAAACACCTTATTCTTCAGGACACTTTAAGTTCTTAGACTAGGTTAAGTCACTGTGTGCTTTCATAGTACCCTGTATTTTCACTGTCACAATGTCAATCATACTTTGTTGTAATTGCTTTTTCATTGTCTCTCTTTCTCTAGTAGACTATAAGCTTGTTAAAAGAAGTGACATTATCTTGGTTATTGTATTTATAGCACCAAGTACATTGTAGTGTTTATTGAAACTCTATTGAATGAAAATGAAGAAATCTTTTTGAAGTATAGCAAATAAGCATGCTAGTTAATGTGGAAAATTTTAATATATTCATTTACATTTAAACTAGGATCTAAAAGCAAACAAGAGTTGACCCTTCTCTTTTCACAGATATTATTTAAGAGTATGGCAGTTGCCAAGAAAGAAGTAAAAAACAAGCA